GCAGGAATGGTACCTTCAGTCTTCTCGTCTGAGCTGCGATTCTTGGTTCAGGCTAAGGAAAGGACAAGGGGATAGGACCGAGCCGGAACGTTTCCATCCCGTTTTCCCCCCCTCTTCTTTTCTTCTCGCCTTCAGATTCACTGTCAGCTACCTTTTCACTGAACTCTGTCTCCACTAGATTTTCCCTTGGGAGCATCCTCTGTCTACCAGTGGTGTCTAGTGTAATGTTATGCTTTCTTGGAATGTTTCATGAGTACATAAACATCGCTTGCTAATTTCCTGTAAGCCAAATCAAGTTGGCAATTGCTGCTGCTTCTTCCAGTATGTTTCTTTTGTCTTAATTCCAGTTCACTTTTTATGGAAGCTCTTGAAGAAACTTATTTTCAATTCTGTCACTTTTAAACCAAGTGTCCATCTTAACAGAAAAGTGATGGTGACTTCCAGAAAGTGAGAAGGCTGATTTTTGCAAATCAAAACCTTAGTAAAAAAATAAAATAAAAAATTTGCATTTAATTAATTTTCTGCTTTTAAACTGAAAACAGGAATACTAAGTTTAATTCCTAATCTGGGTGTGATTGAATGAGCTCACAAAATCTTTTTTTTTTTTTAATGGAATCATCAACTTCTAATTGGATATAAAAATCTGAACTTATCATGATAAACCCTGGATAAGTGCAAAAGAAAAGGAATTAAGGGGTGTATACAGATGTGCTCCTAATGCAGCAGATGGAGCCTGTGAGGACTAGGTACAATAGCACCAACGGCCTGTTTCCTTCAGACTTGTAAAGTGAAATTATGTTGAAAGGCTCCAAAGTGAAATCTGGCCAACCTCCTTGATTGTTTGGAAGGAGACAGGAGGGTGGTAGCAATATAAGTTTTCATGTGAAATGTTGAAAGCAGGACGGTCCCAGTGGGGACTTTGCAGACCTCTGACTATAAAGCTACCCAGACTAAGTATCCTGCAAGGTTTGAACGCGGGGATTTATCTGCACAAGGGATTTGATTCAGATCACAAAAACATCAGTGGCTGTTTCAGCCAACTTAAACCAGGTACGGTTTTTTTCCAGAGATTAAAATCATTACTAGTCCCCTGCATGTCAGCGATAGCCATTTTTGCAGGTAATGAGTGTTACGAGGATTAAATATCACTGTATCTAAGGAATTATTAGGTGAAATGAAAATGATGCTTTTTTTCAATCGCTATAAAAGTTAGCTCCACCAGTCCTGGCCTGCAGAAGGACTCTCAAAAACAATCTGCTAGGTGTATGCCAGTTTTCACAGCCTTCCATCCCACGGGGACAAGGAATTCAATAGTGCCCTACGTTTTTAATGTGTTACAGCTTTTTTTGGTTTTTTTTTTTTACAAGAAAAAAGGGGAAAGAATAAAAATGTTTAATTGCTCAGGATTAGCAGAACAGGCGGCCTGTGTCCTGACCAGGATAAAATCTCTTTAAAAGACTTTTTCTAGTGGAGTAATTTCCCAGTTTCCTTTTCTGAATGTATTTGTGTAAAAGAATTTTGATTAGCATTTGCCTTTCCAATTTGTTGTTAGTCCAAGGAATCTCCATGTAAAACTGGCATTCAAAGTTAAATGGTAAAAATGGACAGCTAATGTTACAAAAAGCAGTTAAATAGTTACTGGTTTGGATCCCTTAATTGCTGCCTTTTTTTTTTTTTTTTTTTCTTCCATGCACTTAAGGAACCTATCTCCAGCAGACATGAAATCATATGATTTTTGTTGCACTTCTGAAATGTTTTGTAATAATGAGCATGTGACTTATCCAATTTAAAGAAAGTTCATGTCCAGTACACGCATGCAAACCTTTTCCTCAGTTAACAAAATGAAGCCAAAGCAAATTGGCAGAGCCTGGAGAAGCAATGTGACTATTTGTTCTTGCATCACCCTGAGAACATAACCTCAAGTTAATTTTTCTGAAGCGTTGTTGCTACTGTTTTCAGGCTTATCTTCCCTTGTGCCAGAAATAGGCAGATTAATGAAGTTCAGCTTGTTGCACTCGTTTAAATTTTTCTTCTGTGGAAAACAAGGGCATAAACAAATGAGGCCGTGCACTTTATATGCTTAAACGGAGAATTGAGCGGTTTGGGTGACTGCAGAGAGCGGCAGTATTTAAAACCACAACCTGTTGATTTGGAATATCCACAGCAGCTGGAATTCTCCCTTGCTTGCAGCTACATATAGAGCAGGAACAAAGGAAATTGAAAAGCTTTCACGTTGCTTCAAAGGAATAGAAAAGCATTTGTTACTCACTGCTGACCCTAAGAGAGAAAAGCCATCTGCACGTAGCTGAGTTTTAGCACTTTCCCAGCGTGGTGCCCAACTCTTGTGCTATTACCTGTCCTATAGTTAAATCATTCTGGGTTTAGTCCAGGTGCCTGTCTCATTAGCCTCTGTTTATCCATATGTTCAATCTTAGATGTCTCTCTTTCTTTTTGCCTTGGTTAAGCTAAAGTTGCATTTACCCACAAGATTGAAATGAGTCATTTGATGTCCTGAGAAAACAAATATAATTTTCCTGCGGTGAGAAGGGAACCGTGCTTTCATCTCGAGTTCTCTTGGCTTTTTTCATTCCGTCTTAAGGAGAGAAAAATCTCGAGATCAAGCTTTACTTAACCTTATTTTCCTTGCTCATAGCTGTAGTAAAACTCGAGCCTGTTTTCTAATAAACACTTGCAGAGTCTCATGACTGAACAAGTAAACTCCATGACGGCACCGGGGAGGAGTTCCCAGATCATTCCGAAGGCCGCTCAGGAGCAAGGGCTGTCACATGCCGGCAAATGTGTCTGGCATCATGCGGTGGGGTGAGATGGCAGCGCTGTGCTGAGTCAGGGATCGTGTCAGATAGCAGGGCCCCCAGCCTGGCCGGCTCTCCGGCTGCGGCGCAGCGACGA